TTATCCCTAAAACAGAAANTATTGAGGCATAGAGGTCTAACGATTGAAGGGTTGTTGCTCTTCCACAAGGAAAAAAAACAACATGAGGCAAAAACGCCTATATGTAAACATGATAAAATCGTACAGCCGTTTGGCAAGGGAAGGAAGGAAGAAAGAAAGGGGGGAAGGAAGGAAGGAAGGAAGGAAGGAAGGAAGGAAGGAAGCAAGGAAAGAAGGAAGCAAGCAAGCAAGCAAGCAAGCAAGGGAAGAAGAAAGACGGGAAGGAAGGGCAAATAACGCATAGAATGACGATTTTTTTTTCTGTCGTATCCACAGATCGCAGCTCAGCTGTAGCAATTTTCGAGAAATGTTTTCGTCTTCAACACGGAAATCGGACTTGTCATTTGTACTAGATCACGTGGAAAGTAGGAATAATAAGTGTATTTGGCCTTGTCATATGCAATGGTAAAATGGGTTCCCTTCTCTCTTGACACAACGAAATGTATCAAACTTTTATTCGATGTATCATTCCTTTCCACAAACTGTACAGAATCAACACGCTTCCCTTAAAAACGGTTTAAGCTTTTGTCACTATTTTTTCGCTTCCAAAACATCTCCTGCCCAGGTGGTTTCAAAATATTTTTGTCGCTGCTTTCGGATTTATCTCTGTCACCAAATTAGACGCTCAAAATTATTTTTGGGCCGCTGACAAGTCAACAAACTCAAGAGTCCTGCAGTGATTGGAACAACGTGGCTCTGGTTGTTGTTGCACCGTAAGATCACTGGCACTGTAGATACCACCGAACGCGTCTGTCGCTCCTCACAGCGCTTCGTTTTTCCTCCACTCGAAAGAAGTCTAAAATCTCCAGACTGCAGACAAAGCTTTACAGACATCCGTGTAGTGATTGGTCATTACTAGTGGTAACTAAGCAACAGCCAATTAAAACAGAGACGCATAACGGGGGTGTGGGGAGGAGAATTTAGCGCGCGATGTGCCCGAGGTGCGCGAACTGCGCTCGACTGAAAAAAAAAATGGTCTTTTGCTCCTTGCAGCGCTTTCCAATTGCACGAAGCAACCTGTTAGTACTTGAAGCGTCAGCTTACCGACATTAGCCTTATAATGCACGATTCATTCTAGAGAAACATGGCAGCCAGCATCCGTGTCTTGTACCGTATCAAAGGTGTTACTTACTCTTCTCGTAAACAGCCTGTCTCTCGTTTTGTCTGGTATTTTCTGCCGCTACTTTCAGAAGACCTTGAATGTTAAGAAGCAGGCTTTCTGCAAAACAAACAATTAGGTCCAAAGAATGAACTTTTCTCTTTGAAATGAAAAACATCAAGCTTTCAGTCCTTTAAGGGTGAGCGTGTGATTTATCTGCAAAATTCCAATAAAAAGTCAGGAATACGGGTTATATCAAGTTTACAGCGAAGACACCGATCGGCAAGGAAACGAGGTGTTTTGTTTAGCAAATTCTACTAGCTAGAGTTATAATAATTCATGTGTGAGAGAGGTGAGAATTTGGCGCTAAAGGAAGAGCTGATAGACCATCCAATAACTATTTCAGTGTTGTAGCCACAAGCTGACTGTAAGTGGTCTAACAACAGGGGGCATTTGTGGCTTAGATAAAATCTTCAACAACAGTCGAGCCTCTGGTCAAAGTATTCTGTACAATGAAACGACATGTTAACGAGACACGTAGTTGGACTCCTTACTAAGCTGGTAATATTAAGAGTAACTTTATATAATAAGTCAAATCTCGCATTTTGATTGGTTCTTACCTATGATGTATTAAAGGACAGACGTATAGATGACGTCATTAAACTTTTTTGTTGTTGTTGTTTCTTTATTATATAAAACGAATAGATTCCACGTTGCCGTGAGTCTGTTCAGTTAAAATATCACAGAAGACGTGTTAGAACATCAGTGACACTCGGCTATCGCTCTGTGTCCCATTTTTTTTTTTGTTTATAGCACATCTGTGATCTATTACTGAACAGACGTACGGCAACATGGAATCTATTTGTTAAGTTCATACTAACCCGTAGATCCGGGTTCTCTGTATTCAGGCTGTCGAGTAAAATAAGATAAAGCACATCAGAAATACAGTTAGCCCGGGCACAAACGTCAACTATTTCTTTGACTGTAAAAGAGAAAAGAGTAAAACAACGCACTTCATCACAACGACGAAAAAATTTCAGTAACAAACCTCTCGTAACAACACGTGTGGAGAAGATGCCGACATTTCCGAACCTGTGTCATTGGCGGTTACGTTTCTGAACTCCGCATGCTCAGATGTGCCAGTACTGCTGACATGAGGTACCGAAGCTTCAACGTTCAAAGCGTCTCCAACATTTGGCGATCTCCCAGGACTGTGGTTCAGTACAGTCGATGCACCGCTGACAGGTGGAGCGCCATTTGTTGGCGGACTTAATACGTTTCCTTGGGGGCTCAAAGACACCTGGGGCCTTGGAGGAAAGTTAAACGCGCATGACTGTGAATTTGGCGCTAAAATAACACCGCTGGGCGGGCTAATGATACGTGACGATGGCGTGTTCGTCGGCGAATGGATCACGTGAGTAGTAGAGTATCGCGGGCTGACGTGAAGATGAGGCGACGTGTGATTCATTGCTGTTTGTGATGACGTCATGTTCACGACGCGCTCCGGTGGTCGGGAAATCGGCGTCCTAAACTGCAAGTCTTTTCGTTCAGCGCCGGTTGCATTGTTGTTAGCATCACGTACTCCTTCAAACGTCACACTGACACCAGCGTTCGGGGATGGATCACGTGATATTGACTTGTTTACATCGTCTGTCTTCATTGGTTCTCCGTTTGACAGGTTGACAGGTCTGTCAGCATGATGGTCAACTTTGAAGTGTTTAAAAGGGTTGTTAAGAAGCTCGGGAGGAATGTCGGGATTCTTTTTGCGCCTACCCGGGCCCCTGAAACCACAAACAATGAAAATTGCATTACACACGAAGCATAGCAGATAAAAGCCCGCTCGAGACTTTTTGCGCGCTAGTTGGAAAAGTAGCTTCTTCTCATAAAACATATATACACAATTGAAACTTACCAGAGTGCAAGCACCGTATCCTCTTTGAGTCCAAAATGGGCAATTCTGACCAAAACGGCTAATAAAACATACCTTTTAGGGCGGCACATACCTATGTAGCCCATATGAGAAAGTGCCCCACCTCCCCCGCTGGGGAATAAGCCAATAACAAAAACATGTTTACGCCCTAACAGTTCAAGAGCTGTTTCGTCATTTTGCTGTTGGAATCCTGCATGCAGGTATTATTACCGTTATCTTGAAAATAGGATATGGAAGACTACCAAGTGTTCCGAACCATTCAACACACAGGTGTGAAGAGGTTATTTTCATCCCATAGGTTCATCTTTGTATCAGAAGAAACTAGAAAAATATTTATCCAAGTGCAAAATTTCCCCCAAGTAAACATATTTTCCCAGTCGGCATAGATTAGTCTTCTCAGAACAACGTTACATCAAATTTATTCAGTCTAAAAATATCTAATCAAATATAAAAACACCAACAGCAATACCGTAAACTGCCGCTTATAATCCCTGGGCTTATACAACTTCGTAAGGGCTTTTAGATGAGCTTATAAATGGTGGGGCTTGTATCCAAGGGGGCTTATAACCGGAATAAAAAAAAAACTGTTTCCAAACGAGCTATTGCTGAATAGGTTTTTTTAGTTACTGGCAATTACGCTTTAAAACATCATAATGAAACGAATTCAAAACAAGGAAGGCTAGAGGAGGTCTTATATCCGGGAGGAGGGCTTATAACCGGATGTATTTTTTGGTTTGCAGGTAGATGGACCTTTAAACCGGGGGGAGGAGGGCTTAAAAGCGGAAGTTTACGGTATTGAAGATTTTGAAAGGTTTCATACAGTCAACAAAATGCCCACAAAACAAAAGTTTCCACAGGATAACGTGTCGTTGGTTTACTTCTCACGGCGTCAAATCTTCTTGAACCACTTACTCCGCAATGTTTGCTCTTTTGACATGTTATTAAAATCAAAATTAATAATGATAGTACGGAAACTGTCCACGTCTTCAAATGACACAATTGTTTCCGTCTACGGATACAATGTTCTGATTTTTTAAAGCTTGGTTGATCATAAACTGATCTTTAAACGATAAGGAACGCAAGAAAGCGAAACTGAAGGGAATTAAAGACAGTTCGTAATGTGTTTACGCCTTTCTTCGAAGCTTAGTGCTTGCTCTATGACGTGTAACCAGCATGGCGGCGCATTCAAAATCCGCTTACAAAATACTCGTTCGCCGATAACTTCATCAGAAACAACTCACTGTCCTCCAAAATTTCTATAGTTGTTTCAACTCCACCTATTCTGCATTTTTTAAACATGTTTAACGCTTTAAAGACCTTTTAGCTATAAGCCTCTTTTATTTCAACCACCATGGGGCATCTTGGAAAAGTCAAAGTAAATGTTGGCTTTTTCAGTGTTTGGCATGAATCCATCATCTGTAAATTAAGACACTGCATACTTTTAACTTGACATTCTCTATATTTAATCTAAAGAATTCATTACCAATGCTGTCGGAAATTTAGTCAATATTCAAAATATACCAGAACGATATTTCACGTTTCATGTTATGTGTTTACAAGTCTCGTCATAATCTAGTTAATACGTTTCACCATTTCACTTCGTTTGGCTTCCCTTCTGTACAAAATGTTTTCAAACTGACGAGAACTTGAAGAATAATTAATAAGAAGCCAAATTCTGTTGCGATACATCAGCCCTCGGCTAAATCAGAAAAGAATGAAAATAATAGTATTTGCAAAGAAGTTTTCAGCGTCAAGTTGCAATATTTTTATTACATTCCAAATGTTCAAAGCTGATATTTGATTTTTCGGCTTCTTTCGAAAATTCCAGCCAAATTATTTTTGGAGCAAAATGTTTTCGAGATATGGGTGTCTTAAAATTTTATTTACCAATGTTAAAATTCCTTGCAAAGTGGATACTAGTCACCATTATATTTTGTTTTCAGCTGGGGCACGTTCATCTTGTTTGTTGGACCGCCCATTTTCTAAGGGGCTGTTCACACCACCCCGGAGGAGTCTGAAAACGGAGGTTTCACTCTGAAAACGCTTCAAATGTTTTCCGTCCACACTACGCCGGAGGAATTTTTACAAAAGACCAAACAATCACCAGCCATTTTGGATTTGTGTTTCAGAAAAAAACTCGGGCAGAGAAATTACTTGATTATCGCGAGGTCATCGGTTTCAAAAAGCTCCGTTTTCAAATGTTCTTCGTCCACACGAAAACTAAAAGCCGGCGTTTTCACATTCCTCCGGTTTAAAGAACGTTTTCGAAAAGCTCCGTTTTCGTGACGGATTAGTGTGGACGGTAGGTCCAACCGTAGAAATAAAGCTGCGTTTTCAAATTCTTCCGGCGTAATGTGTACGGGGCCTGAAAAAAGTCGTTTTCTTTCTTTTTTGGGGTAATCAAAATGAATGTGGTTTGTCTTTCGTTCAGTTTTGGTTCTCAAGAATACTACTTGAAGAGAAAAGATACAAAGAGCATTACAATTAACGCAAACTGGGAAAAGCTAACAAGAATTGCTTGACATGTTCAAATGGAGCCGAGTGAAAGCAGGCTAGTGTAGCTAGAAAACGCTGAAAAGACGGCATAAATCTTCAAGCAGATCATTGTGCAGATCAACCGTCTTCAAACCTGATCAAAGTCTCTCAATTTTTGGTACCCATCGACTTCATCAGCCATCTCTTGAGATTTCAGAATGAAATATTAACCTTCTCGATTTAAATAGAGCACTACACGTCATTAATAAGATCAGCGGGCTAGTTCAAAGTGGATCTTAAGCCCAGCATTTCCGTCTCTTGTATTGAAATTAAATTAATCCGTAATTTGTAACTAAGAGTCACGAGAAAACTCAAAACAAGGAGGAGATTTGAAACGGAATAAACGCGAGGAATCAAATTGGAATAGCGACAATTTCACAAATCAGTATAAAGTCCTGCTGGACGCATGTATACCACGAGAAGTCGAGAAACCATTTGCGTGATTCTATTTTTAGATGCCGTTTTTTTTTAACGCTCTCTCATCTCTTTCCTACTCAAAAGATTTGAATTTGATAGCATCGTGGTACGAAAAATTGAACCGATACAATTAAATTTTGATATACCAATGATAGGAATGTTTCTGAAAACAATATTTATCACGGAAAGATAATTGCGATCGAATGGGAGCTTGTTAAGTGATGTTGGCCGCTTTCAATGAAACAAATGATGTTCCAGTGGTATTTTTGGACATTTACCAAAATTAAAACTCTTGAAAGTTGCATCATAATCTGCTTCGAGTAACACGCGGCTGTTAAACCGTGAAAGAACCTTATCACGATCAAGTTATGTTCCTATTTTAGAACTTGAATGAAGTTTCTCACAGAAACTTAAGTGATACGTAAACACTTATATTTCTTTTCGTACCATTTTTCGGTAAAAGCAACAGTTTCAGTGGGGAAAGATTTGATTTTAACTTGACTCGGAAAACCTTGGAAGCCCTGATGTGCACATATACAATGGTTTCAATACAGTTTTGTAGTATTTCTTGGGAGAATTTGGCGATAGGTTCTACAGATAAGCGACCTCGCGCCACTCAACCAGTCATTTGACCAAAATTCCTGCTTCTCTGACGCATTGAAACACGAAAACAGATTATGGAAAGAAATTCAGTATTTTGCATCATTCTTTTTACAATTTTGATGTTCGTTTCGCAGAAAAAAGAACGGAATTTTTTTTCGCAGCAACGCAAGTCTGCCCGCACCCGGTGTTGCGAAATGGGACCCCAACGATATTCCCCCAAAAAAGGCTGTTTTCTTTCAGTGTAATGAGGAAGATTCATGGTTTTTCAAAATCTTTCTGTTATTTCTATTTCATCATTTTACGCCCAGGGTCTATGTCACACAGCAAAGTATCAGATTTTTGGTTCAAAACATTTTTAACCCCTAACAAATTGTAGCAAGAGTTACACTTTTAAAATAATTTCCTTAGAGAGAGAATACTCTTGAATCGAACCCTTCTGTATGGTCAGGAGTTAGTCATATTACGTAACCCAGTTTAGATTGTCAATTTCAATACTGTAATAATTTTAATTTTAATTTAACCTAATAAAAGGATTTGTTGTCCGTGGAGAATTAGTTAGATCTGCCAATTGTATAACAATGCATTTGTTTATGATTTTTCTCTCGTGACGATTTTCTGACAACCAGAGCTAACTGCTGCTCGCTTATTTCTTTGCAACAACCACAACGGCAATGTGTTCAGTGCCCGCGAGTCTCAGGAAAAAATTAGGTAAACTGTACTTTAAGGTCCCGCTCAATAACAAATTTAATAAAAACAAGCCACGCAAGTTATTGACGCCTTTCTTTGTTTTCTTTAATTCCTGAGGGTTCTCTATTTTGTTTACACGTCGTTGTTTGTTCAGGAACAATTTCCCTCACAAAACGGGAAGCAGAGTAGCATAAAGGCATCGTTTTAAAAAACAATCTGACTGCAAAACAATTCAAGAGCCAATTCGTTGCACATATGGCTGTCGCCTCCCTGTTGACTGGAAACTAGTTTTCATGAAAACTCTTTCACAACAAGAGACATGGCTTTACAAACAAATGTTTTTTGTTTTGTTTTGTTTTAAGAATGAGAGCGCGCAAACTAACAGATTGAGCCAAATTCATGAATATTCTCAACAAATACAATGTTAATTCATAGCTATCCGTTTAACAGCAAATGGGCCATAAAAAACCATGAACCATTAACATAAATACTTTGTTTTTGACTTAAGCTTTTCCATTGCGTAATGTAAACAAAGTTCCTTCGCATCCACTAAGATACTAAAACAAATCCTTTGCAAAAGTTTTGTTGGAAAAGAAACAGAAAGGATCTTGAGCAATTTCAGAAATGGAGGCAAATGCGGTTTTAATTTGCACGAAATTCGTTGCATAACACGCACAACAGAATAGAAATCATTTAATTTTAAACAATGGCTTATTCAAGAAGTGTAACTACACATTGTGGGGGTTTCCCAATGGAAGCCCGCATTTCCACTGAAATGATTAATTACGTCGAACTCTTAATCTTTAACTTCGAATTTCGAGATCGAGTCGGAGAATTGTTCCTAAAAATATCGTCGAATTGTCAATACGAGGAGCGACATGTTTAGAAACAGTTACAACTACTGCTGCTTTCTTACCTGTAAAGCAAACAGTCTTCATAAAGTCTGTTGAAATCTTCGCGCGAGATCAGCTTGCACCGATTTACAACTTGACCTATTGCTCCAACACTCCTCATCATTCGAACTTGTTCCACATTACAGTTCCGTCCTTGAATATTCATCCGTTTCAGTTTTGTGTACACAGTGTGCATGCCCGACACAAGATCTTTGAGAAAATACTCGTACACTTGCGGGAAGCACAGAAGGTCTTCCCCCTCGACATTGAACGCGGCGATTTCTTCCCCGTTCAAATTTACCATTTTCAATTTGTAATCGGTGCCATAGGGTAGTGTAGGCGTTTCGGCCTCCATCGGTTCGTAGTGGTTGGTTGCTGGAGGAGAGTACACAGGAGGTTCCATGGTTTAATTTGCCCGAGTAGCTCGCTACAACAGTGCACGCTATTTAGCTCAGTGCCATGCAAAAGTACTGATAACAAACTGAAAGAATCAACAACGTTGTTAAATTTTGACAATGTGTAACCACGTGGGCAAACTTTAAACTCTCCCAGTACTCATGCGCGCCAGCTAAGCCACGCCCTTAAATCACCAGTGGCTCGGACGCCATTGGTGGAAATTACCGAGACTGTCATCAATCAATCAAAATTATGAGATTTGTGATGTTTTCTTCTGCTGAGAAGAAATGCTTTTCCTTGCATTAACAATCTGGCCTAGAGATCGATTTTGGGATTTGTTGTTTACTTGCCCTGCGTGGGGCTATTCTGAGTTGTTTGCGGCTAACTAAAAGCTTTCGTGTGTTTCGCAGATTTTTAAGGACATTCCGAGACAAAATTGAATTGACTTACATAATTACACATCAGGAAAATGAGTCATTTGGTAAATACCTTGCTCCCGGAAACGCCAGGATGTGTAACACTGTATTGTTTTCATGATAATCTGAGCTAACTTCAACACATGAAATATGAATGATTCCGACACACTCTCAGACTTTCTCAGAGTCACTTTAAGTACAAATACTGCATGCGCGATCTAGGAATACCTGAATGCCTTTTTTGATCAATATCATCGATTAAAGTTTAAAAATAGAATGTTTTCGTTGCGAAATGATTTGTTAAGTCAATTCTGTGTATTATTTGCGAATTCCTTCCTCGCTGCGAATGATTTCGTTGATAACAGAATTCAGTTGGACATTAAACAGAGCAAATGTCAAGAACTAATTTGTATTTTTCCTGTCCTTTTCCAAATCACGGTCGATGTCATTTTATTTCTTTCATGTATCAAAACCGAAATATCGTTTCATTTGCAAGAAACACCAACAAAACTCTGCACCTTTACGGTATTTTTCTTGCGAAAGCGGAGAACTTTGCATAATAAACCCTTGCCAAACTAAGCATTGTAAAACCACATAACACAATAACGCGCTTCAAATGTCAGAATATCAATTAGCCCAAAATAGTTAGTCGCCATTTTCAACATCTCAGAAACATTTGGTAAATTGAGATGTGACGAGAAAATGCACTATTCTTCGCCAAGAATGCACGTTCCTCCTCAAATTTCTCCCAAACGCGTACATTCTAAGCTTTCACTGCGTCGAGCCTTGAAGACTAATTCTCTACGCTGCATTAATTGTTTTTTGTTCAAACATTTTGCTTAAGTAAATTCTTACAATCCTGTTGGTCGAAATGTGATATTTTAACAATACATATTCACTCAGCACTAGAGTTATTATTGTTTTCTATTCTATGATTTTTCAGCATGATAACAGAGTAGCCGGCGCCCTTTTGTCAAGGTAATTTCAATGCTGGCCTTATTTGCCGATTTAAACAAAAGACTTCACTGATCACTCAAAACCCCACGGGCAAACGAGACTGTCTAACGCAAACAAAAAACCCGAGGTTTTAATGAACCCAGTGATCTTTGCTTAAACATATCACTTTGTATGCTTCTTCGCATATTGAAGTAATTAACTTTGTTGTTAAGCTAATATCAGTTAATTGCGCTTCTTTCGCACAGAAAAAAGCCCGTGAGCATTTTATTTTTCAGTGCTCTGTGGTGAGGCAAGCTTCTTGTCAGTGGGTTATGTTGAATCGCAGTTGAAATTCCTCCGTTTGAGCTGATGATAAATTTGGTTTCCGGAAATTTGTTGAGCTTGGTTTCCGGACATCGAAACTCTTTACGTATATATTTTCCCGAAAAAAAAACACGCACACTCAAACACGCTTGCATGTGTAATAAGAACAATTCAGAAAAGAACAAAACTTTCTTTTCCGTTTTTCGATCATCAAACTAACCTTGCTTGCAAACATAGATTTAGTTGACGTTTAAAATGACTGAGAAAGGTTAGTGAAAAAACATGAATGTACTGATGCAAGACTAATAAAATAAGACTGATTTGTGCCATGCATCTCAAGAAAATTTCCCAAGCTTACACCCAAAATCTGCCTGTTGCAAAAATATTTTGAATGGTGCCTACTTTATTCCAAAGATTTTTGAGTAATGGGATTGTCTCGAGACAGCGGGTGAATTTCACACAGTGAGAAAAGACAAGATTGTAGTTCAAAACGGAAACTGAGAGATGGAGGCGACATAGAGATACCCCAGCTTTTAATTCTGGCGAACACATGTTTATCTAGAAACTTGCAAACAGGAATTTGCCTTTATAATACAATGATAAGAAACTTGATTGATGTGTCGGTACAGAAGGCAAATGAAAGGACTGACAAAAGTTCTTTAAGTTTAATTAGTTGTGACAAATGATATATTTTCAAGTGGCTGAGCCTTTCATTAACGACCGACCTTTACCGCGAAGCCAAAACGCCGGTCTGTGAAAACAAAACTATTTCATGATTCCCACCATTAAGGCTTACCGCAAGAATGACAACGCCAAAATCATTAACATTTGGCATATTAACAGTTTTCAAAACAAAAGAAGGACGTAGAATTAGTTAAGACCACGAGGAATTGAACAGTGTCTACAAGAGGACAGTTTTTTTTGACAGGAATTTTAAAAAAAAACTTCGGATTCTAAATGAGGCTGAGAGTTTGTAACCCTAACAGCGTATTGAGTTAACTCGGCGACCTTGGTACATTTCTTGATCATGACTCTAAAGTTATTTGTCAATATGATAGATCTAATTGTAAAATTGTACACAACGAAATTAGGAAAGGCGGAATAAATTTTGATTGAAAATGTATTCCGTCTTTTGTAATGGCGCGTCACCACGACAAAGTGTTCCCTAGCAGAAGACAAGGCTCTGGTTTTGACTACGACAAAAGACAACTGCTTTTACTAACTGCACGCGACAATTTAGTCAACACCACTCCAGGTAGTGACAAATTGCTGTATGCATACGCAAGGAATAATCTGTGTGACCCTGTACGGCTTCCTCTTAGGTAGTCCAGGGGTGAGCCGGTTTTAAGAACTTGAATGACGCACGTAAAATAGTGAAGGCCGTCGAGTGTTTCAAACCATGGACAGCTTTCAGCTGTCCTGAGCCTCGCAGCATGGCATGGCTAATTACCCAGACTGAACTGTCACAGAAAAACAAATGTAACAAATAAAAGATGAAATGGAGATGTATAAGACAAGTGGTCATAAACGGGTCAAAACGACACAAGTTGGTAAGCAACACTTGAACAATTCTGAAGTACGGAAGTACTCACTGTGTTATTGTACCAATTTTTTTAAAACGATACAATTCTACAGGTAAACAGAGCCTTCATTTCCGTCAGGTAAACTGCCTTTGTACTGCGTTATTTTTATTTCATAGCAAAGTCACTTCTGACAAGTCACGGAAAGCCAAGCGCAAAGCCGAGAACCAGAGAGCAAGATATTAAGTTCAGCTGTAGTCTTCTCCTGAACTATTTCATAAAAAGGTACGGGCAAAAATGAAAATTGCATCACTTTCCGTGTAAACTGGTATCAAAAACAAGCCTTCGGCAATTTGCGCTCGCGTGTACGATCCAAAAGAGACACGGGTCCTCGAGATTGACATATCTCATAAGCTTCATTTCCGGTCTTATTTGACACTGTGACTGATCGCTTTTAATCCTGGACTAAGAAACAAAGGGCTTATTACATTTTCCCCAGTTTTCTCAAGATACAAGGGTGATTAGAGCTTAGAAAATTCTCTAAATAAAAAGCCAACAATAAAGCTCGAACTAACACAGTGTAAGGCACGAGTATCTGTTTAAGTAAACAGACTTAACTTTACTTATTCCTTAATTAAGTTTTCTAACGAGGAGATTAAAAGAGGCAAGTAGGTCTGACAGCTTCTTAAGGAAGGGGCAGCGAATAAATGCTCTAATTTTAGGGAAAGAACTAGTCAAGCCAAACTCCGGATATATACCGTGGGTGTTGGGGGAGCTTCGTCACAATTTTCGCACTGATCTTGAAAAGTTTGGCCTAAAGTTTTCAACTTCGTGGTTTGTAATCCGTGTTAATTTCTCCATCCTTAACCATCCTTGTTCCTTTATGGTTTATTATTATCTCTTTGCTGTGTTTCTATCTTAGTAGACTATTATTTTCAGGTTTCCTTCAATTTAAAGGTAATTTTGTACGCTGCCAAAATAACTCAAAATCCTTTGACTTAGCTCTTTTAACTAAAAGCTACGCTTGTGTATTTTGTAGGTCTGTACAAGCAATCATTGTACACGGAAAATCTTCGGTGTTATTGTTATTTTATTTCGGGATGGAAACACCTACTACAGTTAAAAGCTTATTAACGTTGTTACAAATAGTTCTCTTTTATGAAGCTGTTTGTCTTTCATTCATATTGTGTATTTTTTTACAATTAGCATTCGTGTGAGTAAGAGTGGCCAAAAGTCGATCGCTTTTAACACAACAGTGCTAAGATTGTTTCTAAATTACCGTAAATTCCGAAAAGAAGTCCTACACATATTTTTTGTTCAAAGTACTCTTTCAGGCTTGTTTTATTTTAAAACGGGCACATATTATCATCAGAAGGAATAATCCGTTTCGAAGGGACTTGAGATCTGCATGAAAATACTGTTTGCACAACTCGCTAAACGTAACTATGTAAAACGTCAGAAGTCTTTAGAAAAAGACTTGCGGAAAAAGACAGCAGAAAAACACCCGTCACGTTTTATTATAAATAGAACTTTTAAACATCTTAGATTTCTACTATATTCAGTAAAATAAACATTTCACAGCAGTTGACTTTCACATTCTTTCCATAACGTTGCATTTCTGTTAAAAAAAAAAATAGAATAAAACTGTTTTCTGACCTTCAGTTTTCGTTTCTACCACAACACTATGTCTATTAACATCCCTAAACGAAATGCTGACATGGTTACAATGACGACTCTACTCTCCTTTCGCATGTCTTGTTTGCTGTTAACCGCGAACTGTGAGAAAAACAACACGTGGGCTCGCTTTTCTCGAACAACCCCTGACCCGCCTTCCACTCTAGTTCCCGCCAAAGGCAAAGCGTCTTCCTATTGGCTGACTCCCCGCGAGCACCTTTATCCTGATTGGAGGATACTAGCATGTTTACCCAATAGCATTGCAGCTTGTCTCGAGTCATTCTTTTCCTTTGCCGAGGTTAAAGATGATGGAGCGGAGGTTTAGAGCCAGGAAGGCGTTTTGTGGATCGCAAGTCCGTAACATTTCTTGCACAATGGCAGATATCTGGAAAGCTTCAAAGTATCGGCGATTGGACCTGTATAATGACAGCAAAAGTACTTTGATGGATAATGTCAGTGTGGCGCGCTGTACCTCGGGTTTGAGCGGTGGATTTCGTTGTCCACTCTTTGAACAACTGGGCCTCCTAACCACTACATGTTACCAAGCCTGGGATAAACTCCGGCGGTATGAGACTTCATTACTAACACTCCTTTACTTTTTGTTCACAAATCGTAGTAGACAGGAACCGAGAGAGAAGAACATGAGCACGGCGACGAGAAAGTGTGACTTAGTTTAATATCACAGTCTCCCGTCGAGACATAACGGACTGTGCGAAACCATAGATCGTGAGTCTCGCCAAGTTGATCGGCAAGAGCGGTATGCGGGATGAAAATAAATGAATAATCCCAGTGAAAGGTGGAAAGGTAAAGTCTGCATGCGAACCAGGCCGGTGCTTATCTCCGGTTTTCAGTAGCAGGAAGCGACTAGGAGTATTTCTACTCCCCCTAGATGGGATGCCATCGCAGGGTTACCCCCGCCGATACCCATTTATACACCTGGGTGGAGAGAGGCACCGTGAGAGTAGTGTCTTGTTCAAGACCACAACACAATGTCCGCAGCTAGGACTCGAACTCGGACCGCTCGATCCGGAGACGAGCGCACTAACCAGGAGTACATGTGCACTAACCGCGAGGCCACCGCCCCTTCACATAATCTCACTAACTGCTACAGAAAGAAAACAAACTTTACTAGGCAACCAGTAGCTAAAATGGTATAAGCATCCAAGACAACAGACCGGTATAGCATGTCAGCTATGCCTTGTTGCTTTGCAAACCAAAACAACCCCCAAAAAAGTAGCACAGGCTCCTGTAATTGGCGAAAATGGATTCCTCCGAGAAAATTTTGCACATCAACTTTTAACATGGAAGTTACAAGGAAGGCCCTGTCGCATGTATTACTTTACCTGCAACAGCTCTTTAATTGTCATGTTCCTCTACACATGCGTTTCACTTACTTGAGTTTTGAAAGTCTTTGAAGTACGATGCTCAATTTCTCCAATATTTTAGGATCCAGTCCCTTGTGTTGCAGCAGATTCACGGCCGTCCTGAACCAGAGCTCGTTTGAACAGCTGTCCAAAAATGCCGACGTGAACGCTGGCAATAAAACATTTCATAGGGGCAAAATTAAAACAACAGTTCTCTCGCCAGACAACAATTTTTTATTAACACAAAATGAAAGGAGTTCCATACCGAAGAAAACACAGGTATTACAAATTGAATTCAATTATCTTTTTACGACACAAAAAAAGCTGGACAAAGTTTGGCTACCTAAAACTGAGTATGTTTGTCCCGCAGGCATGCCCCGCAGACGGTCCCGCGAGCTAAGACTAACTTACGTGAATCTACAGACATCAGAAGCATGACATCGACAGCACTACCGAGGAGAGCCTGGTAAGGAGAAGAAAAAATGCAAGTCAAAACTGATTGGCTCAAACAGTTTGAGTACTGTCTAACTTTTCAGCGAGATTTACTCTCAGAACACACCTGAAAGGATTCACATTTCTTATTATTCAGCCATGGCTACGAGAGAGGCCATGGCATACGCTTAAAACCCAGTTCAGTCGACGATATCGTTGAACCCTGCTGTAACCCTTATAAGCTGGGAAAACGAGAAATAATTCAACATGGCGGCGGTTCGAGAGAGCCGATAGTTTGAAATAGTACATGATTGAAAAAGAATTTGAAAAAGGGAAAATGATTTTCGTTCGAGATAGCGGGGAATTCAAGATAACCGAGTTTGGGATAGCGAAGTCCAACTGTAATGAAAATCTAAATCTGACGTCATCTATTCACTTCTTCAAGTAAAGGACATGACGCACCTTTTGAACAGCCTTCATGTACGATAACACGACGTTCACTCCTTCGTAGGTCAGAAATATTTGCTTGCCCTGTTAAGAGAAATATAACATGAAAGATGCCATACTGCTGATGGGCAAAAAATCAGCCTTGGTCATTACTATTTTAGGCAATGGGGCACTTTTTCCATGTTCACATAGCCTCATCTAAACACGAGGGAGTTTGGGAGAATTCGAGACAGTTATGCAAACCCGAGACACAGTCGGGTTTGCATAACTTTTGAGAATTGTTCCAACCCCCCGAGCAACAAACGTCGCATTGAAAAAAATAACATAGTGGTAATCACTAAGGACAGTAAACATTTCGATCAAGGGAACGTATAAGAAGCCTGCGTTGCAGGCATAAACGGGGGTAGGGAGAAGGAGTAGGGAGCAACGCGGGGGAGTCCCCCCCCTTTCCATCCCCGCTCTGCCTCCCCCTCCTCCGTTTAAAGCCTACTACGCAGGCTTCGAATGAGGTAAAAATTAGAAATCAACCGGGATAAAAGCTACATTCAAATTGAGAGCTTGTTTTTACTTCGCTGCTTCGACGATCATGCCGGCCAATTTTGTATCTGTTTTAGCTTTCATTTTATTACATTCTACACATAAAATATACGACTCACAGCACTGTTTACTCACCACATCGTCTTTCAAGTCGGTTTTCAAGACATCAAACACATGAGCAAGGTAATCAACTAACAGAAAAGAAAAAAATGACGCGTTACTGAAAACTCGACGAAGACCGAAGACAAATGCATCTCACTTTTGGAATTCGTTGAATTTTTGGAGATTTTTTTCATCATTTTCAGTTGAAAATCTATAAAATTGTATTTAAGAACTGAGTTAAATCGCTGATGAAGTGCAGATATACACCTCCTTAGTACAAATGATCTGAATTATGACACACATACAAGCTACATAATTAACTAGAGATTTCAGCTTGAATTTACATGGTAGTGCTAGCTCTACTAAGAACTCAAGATGATATAATAAAACGCCCTTAAAGGCAAAATATTCCCTTTCTTAAATTCATTTTAAGTACACATTACTGCATCAGCCTTGGGACAAGTCATGAGATTTGCAGATCTCACCTCTGGAGAGAGTTTTGAGTATGATAAGAGATGAGAGAATTCTGACGGCGATATTAGGGCTGTGGAAATAGATTTCAAGCTTCTGCTTCTCGCTTTTTGGAGTTGATCCTTCCTCTGAAACTTTTGTAACCTTTAAAAAGATGGTTTCTCAGTTAGCACTCAAACATTTGTATATCACAAGCAAGCCTCTACAGCACTTACTAAGTGAACCTCTTTTTTAAAAGTAAAAGAAGAACTTGAATGCGTGGACGCAGCAAAAAACAATAAACAAAATAAAAGCAAAAGGGTAAACTAAAAGCGCCGGTAAGGAGCCTGTAAAGGGCCTGTAAAGCGAGCAAGGGCTGATGGGAATGAAAAACAGAGACCGTAACGGCGTAAGGAGAATTTAGTGGTCGATATCAACAAATAATAAGGCATTTCACCTGAGGTTTGTAGAGTTCTTCACCAATGTGACGTAGCGTGGACGCCAAAGCAGTTCTCTGCGTGAAACAAAGAAACGAGAAATCTCAAAGGGACATCATTACGGCGTGTAATGAGGATCAACTAGACTTGACGTATACTCATCTGTAATGATAGGAAAAGAAAAGAAAAAAACAGGGCAGAGGTAGCTGGACTGGTTTACATCTGTCGGATAACAATTTTTTTTTGGTATAGATAAAAAAAATCACTCGAGTCAAAATAAAGAAAGGATGGTGTAATCAGGCGCCACGTGTGCAATGTCCGCGAGTAAAATATACTCGCGAAAATGCGCGCACGAAATGCGCGAGTACACGCATTTCATGTAAGTGTAGCAGCTGCTATCTCTAAATACCTGCGATCCTTGCACCGTCTGCTCCATAAACACGACACTCCAGTAAGTGAACTGTAAACAAGGCTGCTGTACACGAGGATTCACGCTTGGCAGAGTCCCTAATATGTCAGACATGCCTGGTAAAATCTGCATCACAAGAAGGAACAAAGCGTGCGTGTGATGATTAATCACACATCAACATCATGATACTACCAACGTGGGTGGTTAAATATAGAACCTTTTAAAAACTACTTATTATAGGACATCAATTAACGCAAACGAAAGATTTATTTAATGTATTGACACAAATGACAAATGTATTGACACAAAATTAATTCACAATTCTGTTCCAACGTGGACGCAACTAATAAATCCAAAAGTTAATGTAACCCTCCCCTTTGTTATTATAAGCAATTGTTAAGCCATCATTTATCTTTTTGGGTTACACTTAGCTAGAGTTAAAGCAGCTGGTTAATTAATAATATTTCAACTATAATAATATTATAGATATCATAGATATTTTAGAGTTTAAATTTTGGACTGTTAATTATTTACATAATAGATATTTCAAATCTTTAAATTTTAGATTGTCAATTATTTACTTAGCAGATATTTCAAATTTTTAAATTTTAAATTGTTAATTATTTACGTAATAGATATTTTAAAATTTTAACTTTTAGATTGTAATTTTAGTTAGGGGACCTAAATAGGGATAACCTCATGGTCCTCCTTTTCAAATACTCTTTGTACCCTGTATTTGAATAAAGTATTATTGTTATTATAACCACTTAACGTGTTCCGTGCGTGAACTCCGTCTAATTTCGTTTTTTTTTCTGACTGTCTGACTGACTGAATGACTGACTGACTGACTGACTGACTGCTTGCTCTCTCGCTTTCTCGTTTACTTGACTGACTGACATACTGATTGATTGATTGATTAATTCAAGTGAATATGTGGAAGTATCATGTATTTGAATTGCGGAGAAAGAAAAGAAGACATGATTGATCATCACAGTTATATACACAACTTAAGCAGTTGTGAAATGATAGCCTGAAAACTATTCAGGCTTGAACGGGATTCGAACCCATGACCTCTTCCGACACCGGTGCAGTGCTCTACCAACTGAGCTATCAAGTAACTGGGATCTGGTCACTTTGTGAGTCCGTAATATACCTGTAGATGTTGAAGATACAAGTGAATATATGAAAGATTGATTGATTGAAAGATTGATCGATCGATCGATTGATTGATTGATTGAATGATTGCCCACTGTAGTTATTAATCTACTTACTTTCAAACATTTTTCATGCACTAGAGCTGAAGGAAAGTCCAACTGTTGTTCTTGAAGCCTTCCTTGCGGTGAATCCTGAAATGTTGGCATTTTTTGAAGATGAGCCTCTGATGTCCACTCCAGCAACACAGCCAACACTTCAAAAAGAGCGGAAAAATTCACCTGATGAAAGAAAAATTAATAAAAATAAATGAACAAGGTTGCGCAGTCATTTCTGACAAAAAAAACCCTCAAATTTGAAAATGAAAAAGTCGCTTCATTTTTATGGAAGAAGCAAAACTGGAAAATATGACTGAAGGAAGATTTTTAGAGTAAGGAAAGAAGTAACAAAGCAGGCATAGCTCACAGGGATGTTCATCATACCTTCTAGAATTTAAAACCTTAATGTTTTGGTATTACAGAGAGTGTTTACAACAGTTGTAACTTATTGTGGTCACTATTAGATTTTTAAGTTGCTATCTTATTGCTCTCTTATTAAGAGCTTAAATGAACAACTGCCCAAAACACTTAGCAATAAAAACAAGTTGTTGCTGTGTAGCACTTTAAATTGAATTGCATTACTTTCGTTTAAGTTAACAAAAGGTGCCTAATGGTACTTTTTGAGACGTTTTGCAGGAAAAACCCATTCATCAGTCGCAAATGAAACGACTGATGAAGGGGTTTCTCCCGAAACGTCTCTAAAAGTACCATTAAGCGCTTTTTCTCAACTTAAACGAAAGCAATGCAATTGCTCAAAACATGCCCACAGGACAAGACCTTCAGCGGTTCATTCTAAAATTTCCAAATTATGATATGATATTAACTGTCAAAACTTGAGATAAGGAGGTAATATGAAAATCTCAAGTAACAGGTTGCCCTTGCTTCTCTGAAAAAAAAAATTCAACCCAAAGTTTAACTACAAAATATCAAGAAATGCTTGCTAAAAAAAATGCTATGTTAGCAGAGTCATGAGAAACAAGAAAGGAGCCGAAAAGTGCACACTGTGGGTAAAATGTAAAACCATCACAATGGAATAACTGCAAAAGGAAAAAGTCAAAAACACCTTGTTTTGAGAAAAGGCAACAGACTTGGTCACCACCTCTGAAAGCAAAATAACAAAATAAATAAATTATCAAGCAGTTTAGTACTGCACAGGCATTTGAAAAGGAAAGATAAATGAACAACCCATAAATATAGAGGCACATACACAATGATGGATGACATGGATTATGATCTTTCAGTGAGGATGCACACTGATTTCCACTGTTTTATCAATTTAATGATGCTTACACAGCAACTTAGAACTATTACTTGCTAAAAAAATAGATGGCATTCAGAGAGGCATTTTGAGCGTAAAATCAAGACAATTTTTTTTCCATATTATTTATTATAGATGCAAATACAAAATTACAGAACCTAATATAAACATAATTATNGTAATATGAAAATCTCAAGTAACAGGTTGCCCTTGCTTCTCTAAAAAAAAAATTCAACCCAAAGTTTAACTACAAAATATCAAGAAATGCTTGCTAAAAAAAATGCTATGTTAGCAGAGTAGTGAGAAACAAGAAAGGAGCCGAAAAGTGCACACTCTGGGTAAAATGTAAAACCATCACAATGGTATAACTGCGAAAGGAAAAAGCCAAAAGTACCTTGTTTTGAGAAAAGGAAACAGACTTGGTCACCACCTCTGAAAGCAAAATGACAAAATAAATAAATTATCAAGCAGTTTAATAATGCAAAGGCATTTGAAAAGGAAAGATAAATGAACAACCCATAAATACAGAGGCACATACACAATGATGGATGACAAGGATTATGATCTTTCCGTGAGGATGCACACTGATTTCCACTGTTTTATCAATTTAATGATGCTTACACAGCAACTTAGAACTATTACTTGCTAAAAAATAGATGGCATTCAGAGAGGCATTTTGAGCGTAAAATCAAGACAATTTTTTTCCATATTATTTATTATAGATGCAAATACAAAATTACAGAACCTAATATAAACATAATTATACTAAAATGATGATGAAGTGGTGCAACTAATAGGGGAAGGGGATGGGGAACTAAGTTTGTGACAACTTCAAAAGGGTAAGGTGTAGGTATTGAAAGAGAGTGGTAGAACTGTGCTATTGAAGCCCCCTGTGTCACAGGCAACTAATTTTTGCCTTTGGGTGACTGGAGAAACTCACTTTTTTCATACAAGCTTATTAATAAGCGGTGGGCACCCAGGATTTCATGGTTAGGACCCTCTGGGCTCCCCATAATTTTTGTTAGACCACAGCCTAGGAGTTGAGTGAAAAAGGTAGGTGGCTACTTACAATCACAAAATAACAACAAAAATCATATTGCAACCAGTCACCTTCTTTCCCATGCAAAGTGAGCTTGATATTTCTCTGTTTTTCAATCTGTTTATCCTCTGGCTTCCTCTGTAAAAACTCATTTTTTCTCTACAAGGCAAAAAGAAAAAAAAACTTATGAACTAAAAAATGTTTTAAGGTGTTTGCCTGAAAATAACTTTGACTCTCAATACTATGATACAGTCCAGGGAGTCAACCCCTTTAAAATTTCCAAAAACCTGCAGTACATCCTATTTCAAACTGTTAAAAAAATAATTTATAAACTACTTTTTAGTTTTAGAACAAGTTAATATAAAACCTTCTCTGACTTTAATCAAGACTGGCTAAAGAGTAAAGCTCACTGGCTTTGACCAGCCAGGCTCTGAAATTAAAAAGTGTAACAAAGAGGCCTTAAGACTAACAGCAGGCATTAAGTCACAGACCAGTAAAAGTTTAGATTTGGCTAAATTACATTCCTACCAGCCTCTTTGGTATTAAAAAAACAGCTGTATTGTTACAGTATCTGAAGAAAATCAAACTGGGCAGATAGCAATGTGAAAGCTGAATGCAGCCTGTAGGAATGTACATCTCAAAATCACTGAAGTTAACCTCTTCAATACCAACTGCAGCTTCACATATATTAAGTGTTTCCAGATCTTTTGTGAGCTGTAGCGAGGCATGCAAAAAAAAAAAACTGTACCTAAACCTCACAAGCAGAAAATATGGCTGGTTAAAAATGTTTTCATTTGGCAAGTAAAATCTGAAGTGTCACTAGCTAGAAGACCAGTGTACTGAAAGTTAGTCTTCAGTCCTTACCAACCTGCAAATTAGAGAGTCTGTGTTGTACACTCAGAGCTTGTGTCTCCAACTTTCTGTTTTGTTGTTCGAGGTCAGTGATCTATGATCATAAGAAAACTTAAAGAAATCAGTAGAAGTGGGTCTTTCCCTGAATAGTATTAGGGTGTCTAAAAATATCTGGCCTCCCACTGCACATAGCAATAAAGTAGAACCCTGGTAACTTGAACTCCAAAGGGAAACAAAAAACAGTTTGAGTTAGCAGGCTTCAAGTTATCAGGGTCGATTGAATATCCAACTTGCCATGTTAACAATTGATAGTTTACTGA